GCTTCATTACTTTCTTCCAATAAATAATTGCGTGAAGCTGACACAGCACAACTTTGGCATCTGCCATCAGTACCCACCATTCTACAAAGTCCTTATCAATCACGACTGACACGATGTTACACCACCCAGGATTCTTTTCCTTGAAGTAAGTAAGGATAGCCAAAATAGTGACAGCCTGGTGATCCCGTCAGATGAAATCTAGAACAGGGAATCCCTTCCAGTAGCTGTAGTCACCAGAAGACTCCCTGCAATTTAATAACAAAACCAGAATTTGACGTTCTACTACACAGTTGCCATACTGAGGTTGCTGGAAGGTTGCTATAACCAAATAAGGTTGCTCAAAGGTTGCTGTAAAATACGTACCCAAGTGATATCCCAGATTGTTGGCGCCGTGCGTGAAGTCCATGGCGAGTGTCTCGCCCCATCGCTCAAACATTAATTTTTGCACCTTGGTTTGTATTACGATCCCACATGTGATATCTATCTGGTCTTGGAGGACGACCCTTCCAACTGCACCAGAGCATGGAGAATATTTTTTAATCGCTCTTCTGCTGAATCTTGGCCAACGATATTGCGAATTAGGTTACGGGTTTGTTGTGGTGTAATTCTGCAACCTGCTAGTATGTAAAGTAAATAAATCACAATTATGATTATCGTGTTACCTTCTTGTTCTCAAAATTAAGCTTTCTCACCAATCCGGTCGTTCAGGAAGTCGGTAATTCGCTTGGATGAGGCTCTGGCATACCTCATTCTGATAAAAATATGGTATGTTCCGTCGTGCACTTTCATCACAGTCGGCGTGAAGCGCGCCAAGCACCCACAGTATCGGGCTTTGCGATCGCGTTGGCCAGTAGAACGCGAATTTTGTGAGACACCGTGCGTACAGCGGAAAATTCTGTAGCTCCAACGAAAACTTGCAGGTATTTCATTCGCGTGGTTTCTACAAATAAAAATAGTTCATGCTCGTTAGAGATTTTGAATATTTAAAAGCCATATTTTTAATGTACCCACCTGTTGTTTGTTGCCTCCGAACTGCGAACACGGGAATGGGGATTATGGCTTTTTGTAAAGGATGCGAGTATCGTGTCAAACTCGGTCCACGACTTGATCGGTACTTTGGGAAATGGGGCGACGATATTCACAATTTTTTCTTGCTGCACTGCCATAGTATCATGCTCAGCGATATGCTGGCTAGCTCGCTTGCGTGGCTTGTACCCATCGAAATATCCTTCGCTGTTAGCCATTGTATCCACGCCCTCCAGGTACTCTGTACTCCCCACACTCTCGACAGTGTCCGTGTTCTCCACATTCTCGGCACTCTTCACACTCTCCACTTTACTCTTCGACGCTTGCTTCTCCACTTCACGATCCCTTTTCTCACCACACTCTGACTCCTCCACACTATGACCACTCTCCACATTCTTCGACGCCTCCACACTCTCCACTATCTCGCCACTTTCCGCGCTCTCCACTTTCTTGTCACTATCCACTTCCTCGTCATTATCCACATTCTCCATTTTCCCGTCAGTCTCCACGTTCTCCACTTTCTCGCCAGTCTCCACTTTCTTCAATATCTCCACAATATCAGGCCCTTCGATTCTTTTTTCTTCGTGGGCTTCTTGGGTTTCTTACGCAGTGATTTGTTGTCTTCAGGAGCTCGTGATCGCATGCTATTGCCATTGTCGTCTTATAGTCGTTGTCGCTGCCTTGAAATCTGCAATGCATTAAATACTGTGTTAGCTCCAGCAATCCAAAACCATTCTTGATAATCATATAACGACTTCATATTCAGACGGCAACCATATAGCAACTTTGTCGTACGGCAGCCATACAGCAAC